AGCATTTACTTGTACTATCATATCTTTTTACCTTTTTCCTCCTATTTTCAATTTTCTTTCTGACTTCTTGTTCATACAACTGATTGGCGTCGCAAATGGTTTCATTACCATGCCTTTTTTTGCATATGTCACAATCTATTATTGTTATTTTCCTTCCTCCATTAAATTTTCTTCTGGACGGATATGCTGATCTATTATATCCTGTTTCATATGACTTTTGTCCTTCGGCACTGGCTCCTGAGTATATCTCAGTGTTTTGTGGTATAAGAAAAATATCACGATGTGCTGCATAATAATTTTCTCCTAGTTGTTCAAGATGTTTTAACGAAGTAGGTTTGTGTTCCTTCAGAAATGTGGTCATAGGTTTTGGTAATGATTCTAGCAATTTACTTCTTAATAGTAAATCAACTAACAGATCATAGTCGTTGTTAATTTTGGCTGAATCGACCCATTTCTGAAAAGTTGTCTGAACTTCGGACATATAATCAACAAATGTTTGAGTTGATTTTGGTTTTAAATCAATAAATTGCAATCTGTATCCTGCTTCTTGTAGGTCATAGTGTCTCATTATCCGGTCTTTAATATAATCAAAATCAAGTCGTAAATTTTCTGGCACTGTCTCCAATATTTAACGGTTCTCCTCCAAGGTGTCTTTGGAACAGTATTGCCCAATCTTCTTTTGGAATTTTATGAAACCGAACTTGTAGTAAAAATGCTGAAATCCATGATCCAATGTCATCCTTTTCACCAAAATTCTTTATTAATCCTTTGTATTTTGTAAATTTATGTTCTTCTTCTTTAGCTCTTTCCCTTTGTGCTGCCAGTTCTGCTTTGGATTCATTATCCATTTCTTTTGTTCTTATCTGTGCTTCAACCTTTTGTCTGTCTGCTTCTATTTGTGCTGCTAACCGCTGTTGTTCAAGTTTTATTTCCTGATCTTTGATTTCTTTCTCATGTTGTAACTGCTTGTCTTTCATTGCTGCCTCGTGGGCACGTGCTTCTGCTTCCTGGGCGCGTGCTGCGGCCCTTTCTTCACGATCCAATTGTTGTTGAACCCTTTGTGCTTCTTTATCTTCCTGTTCTCTTCCTTCACAGAATTTTCTCAATTCCTCTCCTGATAACCCTAACTGTTTTCCCAGATTTATGTATTCTGCTAGGTTCGACATTTTACACTGATTATTGTAACTTATTACTTTTGAAACTGTTTAAATTTAAGATAAATTCCGTATTATTTAATTGATACCCTTCTTTAACTAAATAATTTAGATTTTAAATTTAATTATATCCCCTGACTAATTTTTATACTCAACTAATAAATAAACAAAAATTATCTATTTTACTTAAATAGAATAATAGAATATCACAATCAAAGAACCTGAAACTAGAAAATAGAAAACATGTAAACAATGTAATGAGTTGATTCTTTTTCCTTGGTCCTAATGATGGCTCCCTTGCTCTTCTGCTGTTGGAATGGACTGGATTAGGTTTGTGGCCCTTGATGCTCCACTGCACGTCTTTACTGTCTCTGGACACGCTCTTCTGATCTTTGTAGGACACTGCTCTTGTCTTCTGTCGTGGTCTAAGTCTGTAGATGATCTTAAAAGACTACCATTAGTTTATGCTCATTCAATAATTCAAATATGTCCAAAAGTCTTTATACCATGTAGTTTAGCAATCTACACTGAAGTTGATCAGTTGGCACAGATCACTAAATGTTCACAGTTAGCGCATATTAATTTCACTTTAATAGTCACCACAAACTGTTGATAAATGTTAGATTATCACTGAAATACTTTTTTTTCAAAGAATGTATGTAGTTCTACTCTACAACCTGAATAGTCATAGTCTATCACATTAATCACTGTTTTTACTGTCTATCCATTATAAATTGTAAACATTTCTTGACGTAATTAATGTTGATAAACACCACTCCTTCCTTGCCTACACAATACACACTTGAACTCACCTATACGGATGTATTACAAACATTTAGTAGTAAAAGTACTACTGGTGCTGACTGGACCCCGTTCTTTTTTATTGACAAGTATTCATGACCTGAGGCATTCACTTGTGGACGGTGTGCTGTACGGTTGCCTCGAGTTAGCTGTCGCTGATGACGTTTTATCTGCTACTGTGTTGTGTTTGACCGATGTTGATGACCTTGCACGCTGTAACTGAGTGCCGTCTTGGCCCCTGGCCATGCAGTGTTCTTGCGGTGAAATCTAGTCCGAAAATTCGTATCTCTGGTTTATGACCTCTTGTTTGACGAACAAAACCCACGTCAAACAACCGTCACAGGGATACCGTTGCTGACAATTTTCCGTCGTGGATTACCCACCACAAGGGTCAAAAGTTCAGCTTACAGTCTCTTCCAGCGACGAACAAGCGTTCCCGCGGGATGAAACGTGTACAATTTTTTCACACGTGAAGTGAATACATTACCCAGTATTGCTTCGCCGTGTTTCTGCCCATTTTTCTCAGGCTAGCTTGTTTGTTTCAGAATGACTAGAGTCTGGAATTCAGTTGTCCCGGTTTTACTTAATGCCCTTGACAGCATGTCCTGGTCTTACATAATACCCCGACATTTCTTTAAACTCCATCTTCCAACACACATAGTCACTCAAAACTTACGGCTGCCGGTATTTGCCTAAATTTTACTTCTGTCCACAAAAACACTACGTCTAATGTACTGGCATCGTTAGAACAAGCCTGCACTGTAACTCATACTTATAACTTACAATGTATTCGCACTTAGGACGGGTCCCCAATGTAATGACTGCCCTTTTTGTGTCTCCTCCACACTGGCTATCTGTGGTGCAGAGTTAACACTGGCTCTAATGTCTAGAGGTTCACAACTCAATCAAAGCAGACATGATCCTCTTCACGGTCACACAACGTCTAACAACGGTTAACACCAGCGGCACATTTCACGAGTTTATTTACACGTTAGCTCAATACACAAATCACAGGTGAATCCACTTACAGCATTCGGACAATAGACGTTGACATATTCACAGCTGGCTTTGACAATCAAACAGGGTACCATCACAGCTGGCCTTCTCGATCATTCATTCCTCGCCGATTCAGATCCACATGCTCTAGTCATTCTCCATTCATATTCACAGCTTCATTTTCCATCCTTTCTCTCTGGGGCCCAGTCACCGAATGCCCGCCTGATTCTCAATCCCCCAGATCTCCTCATTCACACGTGACACACTCTTTCCTGTCGTTTCACCATATCTCCGTGAAACACACGCTCTCAGGGACTTCCCCAGTTATGCCAATCATCCCCTGACATTATCCCTATTTATAACATCATTAGCCAGAGGTGCCTTCTCCATTATTACTAGCTGTATAATAATGGAGGTGAAAGCGGTAACTATTATGAAATAATCAAGTAACAGAAAGTATTGTGAACGGCACGCATAGAAAGAAGTAGAAAGATAGAATAACACACTAGACAACATAAAAATCGAAAGCTATAGTTACCGTGCCGGGAATTGAACCTGTCACCTCCAGACGGCGTCTGCGCCTCGCCATGAATACAAGTGCACTAAGATACATGGTCAACTCGGCACCCCCTAAAAAAAGGTGTCTCATTGGCCATGTCTATCGTACAGCTTGAAATCCACGACTATGGAATACGGGCAGAATTCATTTCAACCCATTGAAATGGCACCATAGGTTACAGAAATTTATATTAACGAAGCAAATGTCGAATAACAATCACAGCAACAATTTACGAACACAGTAGACCTTATTGCCTTGTCTAGCGGTAACTAAAGCTTTCATGTTACTAGAAACTTAGGACGATTCCCGCGTGTGTGGGCTGAGTGATTCTATGAGCATGATCACGCGGGTCGAGGCAGGATGGTTGCGCAGACAGTGGATTGAGTCACTGCAAAACGCTTGTGTTTGTGCAGTTCCCTTCATATGTGTCCCAGAATATGCAGGTGTTGTTGGCAGTTGAAGAGCTGATAGATAGATTTGAAGGTTCTGGATTAGTTGCAGATGGACGAGATATGGATCATGCCAACATTGTCAATGCCCTTAGAGGGATAGGACGTTCCGAAGATTTCGGAAGCAACGTGTCCACACCACTGCCAACAATACGAGAATTGAGAGTAAAGATCGGCACAGCCAAGCAAGAGAGGCACACCGGACGCACAAGAAGTCTTGTCAATCAGCATAGGCTCGGCACTATTAACCGCGTGACGCCGATGAATATGTGGAAGGGGGAATCTGAGCACATTTGGACGTGTACGGAGGGCTGCGAAGATAGTCTGACTCACAGCTAAGGAGTAACCTGTGCAATGTGTGGTGACTGCACGAGCTACATGTCTCTAAATACCTCATGCTCCTAGACCATTTACGTCCACCACAGAATGTAAGTACAGAGCAGCAGTAACAGTTTCATCTTTGTTCTTACTCGCCTCTAAGGTTAATTGCGTATCCTTTACAGGACGTTGCAGAACCAACCCCAACAGCCCCTTGCTGTTGTGTGGTTTTTCTAGGCAAGTTACGTCCAGTAGTTTGCCATTGCTCCCTGGACGGTCGATTTCTTGATACTACTGTCAAAACCAACGCAAGGCGCATGTTCCGCAGCTGGGATCGAACCCGGCACCCTGGCCTTACGAAGTGTTCGCATCGACTTAGCCACAGAGCCGACTATTCGCCTCTACCAGCAGTAAATTCTGTCCGGATGTTGTTCGTCCATTTCTAGATTTAGGTCTTGTTCCAAAACTTGAGTCTTGCGGTCACATCCATTTGACAGATCTGGCTTATTTTCGTACGCAGACTGTTGGTTCTACTCTCAAGCAAATGCACTCCGACTTTGAAGGAAACCATTATTTTGTCGGCTCTTACGACATGCTTGTTGGGGGGGGGGGGTGTTTTCCCCAGAACCTACACCTAGAACTTATAGCTAAATGAACCACTGAAAATTCTAGTAGAGCTGAAATATCAATTGTAGTTATCATGTTTTTGTTTTTTGGTCACAGCTGAACCCGTTTTCCGGACTTGGTCCCCGTTTGGTCCATGTGTGTTCCCTAATGGGGATTGTGGACAAGGTAGAAAGATACGAACCAGAGTAGCCGTGGCCTTGGACAACAGACCAACACGCAACCCTGACTCTACTGAACTGGAGGAGGAAGAATCATGCTTCAAGGCTTGCCCGCAGATTAACAGTTAGTTCAATTCTTTCTTCCACTGTATTTTGTCTTCCCGTTTAGATGTCTGTCATTCGGTCTGCTAGTTGGACTGCCTGCCTATGTCTGTCGCATGTACTTTTGCTGCATGTCTGTTGTCTTTGCTTTTCTTTTCTGCCTGCACATGCGTATGTCTGTGTTATTTATGTTTGGTTCTATTCACGTCTGTCTATCCATTTGTTTTTATGTCTGCTTGTAGTAAGTCTGTCTACTTACATGTTCGGTCACTATCCGGTCAAAATGGACGTTAGGCAGGGGCACTGTTTGGAACCGAGGCAAATTTTTTGCTTCTGCCGAATGATGGCCGATGCATTTTTGCTCCATTTGTAGACTAGATATAGTTTCGTCGCCCAGCTTCTGAGTTGAATGCATGGCGTAACACTGTGAGCTGAAGATTTCATTTGGAATGTTTTTACGACTGTGACCAACGTGGTGGTGTGAATTGTAGATTCAGAACTTGGGGCGATGCATATTGTCGCAATATTAGTTGTGCCTGTATGTGATTAAAATTGATCGCGTGGGCAACTGCTGATCTGTTGGTGACTTCTGCTACCATCAATGATAAACTGAATTTCCACTGTCGGACTGTTTGTGTTAGCACATAGGATGGCTACCGTATGTTTTAATGCGAGTGTATGCTAGATATGCTGAGACAGCAGTCTGTCAATCTTTCCACAAGGGACTGAGATAAACATTCTGTGTGTTTTTCGTTGGCACAGGAGCGGGGCAAAGATAGGGTGACCCGTCTGCTATGAAGCTGAAACAAAGACTACCAGTATGTTCAGTCACTATACATACCTGTCTATCTGGACTTCTTCTTCTTGACGTTCCCTTTTATCGCTTCGGATGTCGAAGGAGATATCAGGTCCTGCTTTGTGCTTGTCTGGCTGCTCAGACTATAGACACGTCATGGTGCTGTAGAGTTTCTCTGCTGTTATCTTCCTATGTGTTCATGGTCTACCTCTTGCTCTACGTCCCTCTCCTCTATTGGTATATGCCTTGTATGGTATAGTAACAGGGGGCATTCTTTATAAGGGGGCAAACCATTTGATTTGCTGTCTCTGTATGTAATTTAGAATTGATTCTGTGCCGACTTTATCTCGTATGACCCTATTTCTGATTTTATCTCTTCTGTTCATTCCTAGTGTTTCTGAAACACCTTATTTCAATGGTTCCATCCGGACTACCGGTCTAAAATGGAGGATAACCGGCTGCCCCTGAAAGGTTATTTTCTTCTAACCAGAGTTTGCTGATCACCCCCCCCCCCCCCCCGATTTCTTTAACGGGAGTCCAAGGGTTCCGTTGTCCACTGAGTCGAGTGCTTGGTGCGACACTATGAGCTGTGGATATCATTTTTTTCTGATTGTGTCAGCCACGGTTTATATTGTCAAGCACATTGAATATGGCGGGTGGTGTGTACTTATGCAGTTTTAAGTTACAGTGCCGGCTTTTGTAATTACTGCAGTGGGATGCAATATCAGTTGGGACTGTGAGTTTTGGCACGTCTTAGCTGACTTACGCATGCAACTTGCGTGTGCAAGCTTCACGATTTTACTGGGACGGGCATGTTTTTCAGAATTATTAAAATAGACATGAATGACAGTTTGTGTGATTTCCTTTGGCAGACGAACCTGTCTACAGTAAAGTTAGAACCTAGTGTAACAACTAAATAACGACTAACTCGCGACTAACTAGCGACTAACTAGCGACTAACTAGCGAATAACTAGCGACTAACTAGCGAATAACTAGCGACTAACTAGCGACTAACTAGCGAATAACTAGCGACTAACTAGCGACTAACTATCGACTAACTATCGACTAACTAGCGACTAACTAGCGACTAACTAGCGACTAACTAGCGACTAACTAGCGACTAACTAGCGACTAACTAGCGACTAACCAGCGGCTAACTAATTAACAACTGACTAGCGACTTACTAAGAGCTAAGTAAGGACTAACTAACTACTAACTAGCGACTCACTAACAACTAACTATCCACTAACTAACAACAAACTAGCGACTAACAACAAACTAGCGACTTACTAGCAAATGACTAGCAACTAACTAACAACTGACTAGCGACTAACAACTAACTAGTCACTAACAAACAATTAACTAGCAACTAACTAACAACTGACTAGCGACCAACTAACAACTGACTAGTGACTAACTAACAACTAACTAGCGACTAATTAACAACTGACTAGCGACTATCATCTAACTAGCCACTAACAAACTACTAACTAGCGACTAATTAACAACTGACTAGCGACCAACTAACAACTGACTAGCCACTAACAAACAACTGACTAGCGACTAACTAAAACTGACTAGCGACTAACAACTAACTAGTCACTAACAAGCAACTAACTAGCGACTAATTAACAACTGACTAGCGACTATCTAACTACTGACTAGCGACTAACAACTAACTAGTCAGTAACAAGCAACTAACTAGCAACTAATTAAAAACTGACTAGCGACTATCTAACTACTGACTAGTGACTAACAACTTACCAGCGGCTAACTAACAACTAACTAGCAACTTACTAACAACTAACCAGCGGCTAACTTACCACAGACTAGCGACTAACTAACAACTAACTAGCGACTAACAACTAACTATCGACTAACTAACAACTAACTATCCACTAACTAACAACAAACTAGCGACTAACAACAAACTAGCGACTTACTAGCAAATGACTAGCAACTAACTAACAACTGACTAGCGACTAACAACTAACTAGTCACTAACAAACAATTAACTAGCAACTAACTAACAACTGACTAGCGACCAACTAACAACTGACTAGTGACTAACTAACAACTAACTAGCGACTAATTAACAACTGACTAGCGACTATCATCTAACTAGCCACTAACAAACTACTAACTAGCGACTAATTAACAACTGACTAGCGACCAACTAACAACTGACTAGCCACTAACAAACAACTGACTAGCGACTAACTAAAACTGACTAGCGACTAACAACTAACTAGTCACTAACAAGCAACTAACTAGCGACTAATTAACAACTGACTAGCGACTATCTAACTACTGACTAGCGACTAACAACTAACTAGTCAGTAACAAGCAACTAACTAGCAACTAATTAAAAACTGACTAGCGACTATCTAACTACTGACTAGTGACTAACAACTTACCAGCGGCTAACTAACAACTAACTAGCAACTAACTAACAACTAACCAGCGGCTAACTTACCACTGACTAGCGACTAACTAACAACTAACTAGCGACTAACAACTAACTATCGACTAACTAACAACTAGCCAGCGACTAACTAACAAGTAACTATCGACTAACTAATAACTAACTAGCGACTAACTAACAACTAACTAGCGACTAACAACTAACTAATGAATAACTAACAACTGACTAGCGACTAACTAACAACTAACTAGCGACTAACTAAGAACTAACCAGCGGCTAACTATCTAACTAGCAACTAACAGCTAACTAGCGACTAACTAATAACTAACTAGCGACTAAACAACAACTAACTAGCGACTAACCAACAACTAACTAGCGACTAACCAACAACTAACTAGCGACTAATAGCAACTAACTAGCAACTTACTAATGACTAATTAACAAGCGACTAACTAACAACTAACAAATGACTAAATGACTAATTTGCACCTGATTCGTTGAAACGAGCCAACTAGAGACGGGGGAAAATCGGACATGTCCGGAAGTTATTGCACATACTAGCACTTTAAAAAGAGAAAGGTCCAAAACAACTTTATCGGGGGGAAAGGGGGATCCTTTAAATTGTTATTGTTTTACCTGTTCTTTTATGGTACACTAGCCCCGTGTGGTTTCCGGGTCCTATTGTGGAGGAAAAGAAGAACAGACCCACCGCCTTCCAAAAAAAAAAGCATCATGTAAGAGTCGACTAATTAGGGGCTTCTTTTGAATTTGGAGTACATCTGCCT